GATCAAATCCTATACATTTTGTCTAAAAATAAAAAAAAAATTATTTACAGACCAAAATAATAGAATAGAAAAATGTAGGGTGCACAAATCTTGGCATCATTAAAGATTTCGATCTCCATCACACATACAACCCACACATCCATGAAATAATCACAAAACCATTCCATAATTAAATCAGAATAAAATAAAAAAATAATTTTCACATCATATGCCCATTACTGAGAACTAAATTCTCAAAAAAAAAAAACAACAATCTACGCAAATTGGGTAGAACTGATTATGCCCATTTGCACAGGTTCAAATCAGGTCTGATTTGGTTCAAGAATTAAACCTAGCTCTGATACCACTGAAGGGAAGGGAGATCCATCATATGGATGGTCGAACCTTGCAAGTAGGTTGGGCAAAATTTTAAAATTTTTCTTTCTCCCTTCCGGGAATCCTATTCACTGATTTAGAAAAACTGCATTTTTCAAGGTTCATTGTTGAAACAAGCCAGACCAGATCTGAAACCAAAATTAAGCAAGTAGGAAAATACCTGATACGGAATAATAGTAACTCCCAACATAGGTGTTCACGCCCAAAGAGTTGACCAAAACCCGCCTCCACTGAAGATGACACAGCGTATGATGAGACATGATCAACAAAGTGGTTCTTCAACAAGAAACAATATCAATAATTATTCTTGATCAGATCCAAGAGTGGAGATCGAACTAGGTAGGGGCGGTAAGAACTAGGGAAGAATTATGCAGATTGTTAGTGTGTTTAAACTGGTGAATTCGCCCCCTATTTATAGCCTTCTTTGGATCAACTTCCTAATCCAATTAGGAAAGAGTTTCTTGATCCATATCTGATATTTGGATCTGGACTCTTAAATGAATAAGACATATCTTATCCTTAAGCTAATTCTGATCAGGTTATAAATTAGATTTCACCCCCTTTTAATTAACTGACTTAAGCCCAGTTCAAAATGGGCTTTAGGCCCATTTAGTCGCATAGCTCACTTTTCCTTTAAATGCTGGCTAACTTGGCTCTCTTTGTATGGCATTGGACCCTAGCATTGATCTATACATCAGCCACATGGGTTTAGCCTAGTCTTTGTTACAAGGTCTGGTCGAATTCACTGTTGAACACATTGAACCCCTGAGTCCATCAGTATGGACTCTTAATGGGCCCAACATTTACACTAAATGGTCCTTTGGCCTATCCACCTTATGAAGGCCCAAGGACTGTGGACAGATTCAAGATTAGCCCATCAGGTATTACCCTTAATGGTCTTACACTTAACCTCTCAGCCCATAATGATCAAAACACTGTCCGACAAGAGAGGACCTCTCCCTTGGTTGCAAGGTACAATATTGCTCTCTCTACTCACATGGATCCCGGGAATTAAAACCTTTTGCAAACAATTTGTGAAACCATAATATATAAGTATATCTCTATATAAATATATTTTGCAAAACAATTTTCAACAAGTTTAAAATCAACAGCCGACAATTTAGGTTTCCATCAAAGAGAGTGCATTCCCCGATCATTCACTTTGTCCAACAAAGGGGCTGATCCTATCACTATGATCACCCACTCAGGTGAATTCTCGGACTGTCCCAACATACCTAAGTTTTGACCCCCTCTAAGGATCTCACTGATTGGCATATCAAAGACAACCCAATCCAACACCTAGTGCAGTACCATAATCGAGTCTAAGGGTCAGGTGCAACATTCCAGTTTTGCCCATTTATCTCCAAGGTCTAGGGCAATACTGAAATTTGGTCTGGTTCAGGGTTTCAAGAAAACCCACATTGCATGTACATCAGGTCTCACCTTGGCAGCGAAGACAAGCCACTTCAACCCACTTGGCGGCACATCAGTGTTAGCCTTGGCAGGATAAATCTCCTCAGATTTATCCAATAGTTGTGAAGATTCTAAACTAACACGAATCTCATAAGTGTCTAGTTTAAGGGTATTACACAAAAACACACCAATATAACATGAATCAAATATGTACTTTATTCATTTACAATAAATGTCATAATGTACATCAAGCTAATTGGAGCTAAGGGCATGCACTATCTAACAAATTGGATGTTTTGTTTGTTTTCATGCGTATTAGACTTGTATTAGGGGCATATCATGGTGTATCGGGGCGTATCGGGAGCGTATCGGGGGTTTATCGTGACGTATTGGTAGCGTATCGACGAAAAAGATATGGCCAAAAACTAAAAAAAAAAATTAAAGGGGGAAAGCAAGCTTTTTTCCCCGAAATAAGCCTTTTTTTACCCCCAAATGACTTTAAAACTCCAAACTTCATTCCAAGAGTGCTAGATTTGCAAAATTTTGTGAGAAATAAGTGTGAATCGTTAATTTTTTCAAAGATTTTTCAAATTTTGAAAAAATATGGAAAAAATAGGTATTTTTTCAATCTTTTATAATATCTTGTGATTTCTTATTTTTCTTCAATGTTTAAATTTATGTTGATCTACATTTCTTACATTCAAAATCACATGTGCTATCAATAGATTTATGGAAATTTCAGGAAAATGTTTGGGGAAAATATAAATTAACAAAAAAATTGAAAATGTAAGTTTTTTCTCTACCTATAAAGACTAAATATGTTTTAGATCTATGTATTTATCTATCATATCCATAGAGCAATTGAAATTTCTTCTTTAATTTTTTTGATTTTTTATATTTTTAGAACTAAAAAATAATAATAATTAATTATATTTCATCATTTGATCATAACAATTGAATATATTATAATTCTATGGATGATCTATCATATCCATAGACCAATTGAAATTTCTTCTTTAATAATTATTTTTAATTTTTTAGAATTAAAAAATAAATAAATAATTAATTATGTTTTATCATTTGATCATAATGATTGAATATATTATAATTCTATGGATGATTTATCATATCCACAATTGAAATTTCTTCTTTAATAACTATTTTTTATATATTATATAATGTTTATTTATTTTTTATAATTTTTGGAAATGAATAGTAAATAATAATTATTTAAACAATAAATAATTATTAATTATATTTTCACATAAAAGTTGTGTCAATGCATGCTTTATGATTGGATAGGAGAGTTGGGTTTTTCTCATCTCATAAAACATTAAAACTTAAGAATTATAATTTATAAATTATAGTTGAGCATAGGATTTTTAATGAAATTATAATTAGCTATAATATATTTCTTCATAAGACCATTAAAATATATTAATTTAATGTATATACACCTCATTGAGGTCTTATATTTAGTGTTGTTGATGTATTTTTATGATTTATTAAAGTATTTATAATGTTTCCAAGCGTATCTATGTGTATCTTAGTTTTTCTCCGATACACGTGTATTCAGGGCATATCCAGATGCGTATCTTAAAATTGCCTTTCTGATACACTTGATGTTTCCGATACTTTAAACCATGGATTGATGCAATGATGTCTCAGGTTGCATAACAAGTGCATGATGGGGTTCCTAAGCTAATGCTAGTTGTGCTCTATGTAGTGTTGATTTTTTATTACTTCATGTTGCAAATGTATGCATTTGTTGTGTTCAAGGATTACTGTAGTGCAATATTGCTGTAGTGGAATTGCACGGCTCAGTTTGGAAGGAGTACAAATACAAATATATACAGTACAAAACCTAAACCATGTATTTTGTATTATTACATATTTGTATTTGTACTCCTTCCAAACTGAGACGTAAGAGTATTCCTTTTAGGTTGTGCTATAATGTAAGCATGTTGTGGCTGTGTTTGAATGCCCTTCAACGCAGTCTTCATTGTGTATGTGAGGAATTTGGGCTTGTGGTGCAATGAAAGCGTGTTATTATTTAAGTGCAGTTTCCATAGTGCCCAAATCTATGTACTTACATTTGGCTATTTTGCAGTGAGCTCAATCTACATCACAGTTCATTGATGGTCATATTATGAAGAGTTGAAGACCGAGTCTAACATAAGTCTTTTATTTCTTTTGTTTTGTAATTAAATACTATATGATGCACACCTTGTGGCCCAAGCTGCAAAGACTCATGCTGTTAACTTCTTTTCTTTTGATCACTATCAAGCATGGCTACCAAATGTTAAGGGCTTTGTAAAGGTTCAGTTCATTTAGACTATGTTTGGTTTGAAGAAAAAGGTAGGAAAAAGAAGGAAAAGGTAGGAAAATTCATACAAGGTTTATAAAGGTTTTCTACCTATCTTTTCTTTCCTTTTCCTACTTTTTCCTTCAGACGAAACACAGTTAATGTAATCCTTTTAGTATATAAAAAAAAAAGGTTGGGCTGGGCTAAGCACAGCTTAGCCCAAATCCTGTAGGATCCTATTTACCAAAAAAAATCTGGGTAAGACCTTGAGTCACAGGGCTAAGTCAAGCCCAATTCCTTCAAGCGAGTCTGCCAATTGGAACTATTGCATTAATGGATAATCGAGTCAATAATTTATAGACCTGTTCATGGGTCGGGTAGTCTGACAGGCTGATCTAGCTTGTGCCTAACATGATAACACATTTTTCTTTGTTTCTCCTCTTTTTCTTTCAAATTGAAGTGAGATTTTTCATTATTTTTGAATTTTGAAGTTTCTTAATATAAATAAATTAATTTCTTATTGAGTAAAAAAGAAAAAATCACTTTTTCTAATTTTATAATCGGACTTCAGCCTTTGGCCCGGGCTTAAGGCTTTATATGAGGGCTGGGCTTAGGCTCTAGACATAGGCCCAATGGTCGAATCCTGAACCCAACCGGCCCGGCCCGTAAACAGTATAATGGTCTTGTCCTTAGCGGATATTAAAAGCTACTATAATATGGAGCGGGTCCATCCGTATCCATACAGTCATAGGCCCCCTAGGCCCTACTACTAGAAAATGACACTCTGCAAATCGTCGCATACAGGCTACGTGGCTCTACACGCCACGTAAATGAACAACTGTCGGGCTTTTATTGGTGACGCACTTAATCAAGTTCCACCAATTGCTTAAATATTGGCTGAGATCCTCGCAATGAACCAAATACAGTCACAAGCTTTGCATTTCCAAACCCTAGCGGAGCGGGAATCTCTCTCTCTCTCTCTCTCTCCTTCTCTCTCTCTCTCCGAGACCTCTGCTGCACAACCTTCTGAGGAAATCGGAGATTTTCGGGCTGGATTTCGATAACGGATTCTGATTGGAGGTTTCAAGAGCTGCCTGATTTTGTCTTCATATCAGGCTACTTTTCGTTGATCAGGAGTTGCATGATCATCGGTGTTGGATGGCTTCTGCTTGCGTGAACAACATTGGAATATCGCCGGACAACTTCCTGGACTGTCCGCCGACCTATCCTTCGTACGGATGGCTCAGCCCTAGAATCTCTTTCAGCCGCGATTTCGCAGATGAAGAGGCAAAGATCGCCGCAGGTAAAACCCCATCTCCGGGTGAGAAACCTGTGAAACCTCTTGAAAAGGTAGATCCCGAAACTTCTGGCATGGATATCGGAGATTTTGAGTTCAGACTCGACGATCCGGTGACGATGCTTCCAGCTGACGAGCTGTTCTCTGATGGAAAGCTAGTGCCATTGCAACTCACTACGATGCGCCCTGCTGTTGCTTCAACAACGTCCGCGGAAGTTAGGTCGCCGGACACGGCGAAATCTCGTCGGAGAGATGAGGTTTCGTGTACGGATCCGTATCTTTTCTCCCCAAAGGCGCCGAGGTGTTCGAGCAGGTGGAAAGAGCTTCTGGGATTGAAGAAGCTTCAGAGCCACCAGCCTAAGCAGGAAGTTCAGAAAGTAACGTCTTCGTTCCCTTCGAAGATATCCAACGCTAGGTCTCTGAAGCATTTCCTCCATAGAAACCCTAAATCTTCTTCCTCTTTGGCCGGCGATTCATCATTGAGTCTTCCATTGCTAAGAGATTCCGATTCCGAGTCTGTTTCGATTTCCTCCCGCCTTTCGCTTTCTTCATCTTCCTCCGGGCCTGATCATGAAGATTTGCCGCGTCTTTCCCTAGATGCTGAGAAGCCCAACCCGAGCCAGGTTTTCAGAAATCCCCCTAGAGTGAGATTGGTGAAACCGACAAGGCCTGCTTGTGATAACCCTAGGCCGTTCACCCTCGACCATCCGCCGGCGAGGGTTGGAAGGAGCCCAATCCGCCGAGCACCGGATTCTACTACAATCCCAGCCAGAGGGGTCTCCGTCGACAGTCCACGGATGAATTCTTCAGGCAAAATCGTTTTCCAAAGCTTGGAGCGCAGCTCAAGCAGTCCAAGCAGCTTCAATGGGGGACCCAAAATCAAACACAGAGGAATGGAGAGATCCTACTCTGCAAACGTCAGGGTTACTCCTGTTCTTAACGTTCCAGTCTGTTCGCTTCGAGGCTCATCAAAGTCAGGCTCCGTATTCGGATTTGGTCAGTTGTTTTCTTCCCCTCAGAAGCGAGACGGCGGAAGCACTGCCAGAACTCATACGACTACCACCACCATAAACAACAGAAACCGCAATGATCGAAACTGATTTTGATCAAATGAAGAGAAGCGACGGTCGGTAACATTTTAAATTAACCTCTATTGTTGGGTCATATTTGCTTTACTGATTTTAGGTGTATATATGCAGGTCTTGTTCTGCTGCTAATGTAGCTTTGTAGTTTTTTGTTTACTCTTTCCAATTTATCAATCAGGAATTTGAGGGTTCTATCTGGTTTATGTAATTTTTCTTCACTTGTTCTGTTTTTTTCTGGGTTATTTATAGTTCTCTTCTTAGGAAATCGAAGAAAAAACTGTTCTTCTAATTAGGGTTTTGAAAATGGAGAGATATGATCCAGTTTTCACATGGGCATATTTCGTGTTTATCTTTCATGTTGATTGACTTGATTTGATTCCTTTCGTTTGCAGTTGAAGCGCATGATAGTCTTTAATTAGTGGGTTTCACTAAAGTGAGCATCTATGCCTTTCACGTACATTTTTTCGCTCTATTATGCTGTTTTTTGTTTTTTTATTTTGATAAGCGCTCGATTATGCTTTATCGGTAAGCCCTTTGGGCTGTGGGAAATGATGCGATTCAAAAACATATATCAGAGGCATCACTATTGTGTGAGCCATGCTGGATGTTTTTCGCACGTCAGTCTGATCCCAACACTCTCTGCTCTTTTGTTGTCACTCGTCGAGCCTTTTGTTGTCGTTATTGGTCGCATAAAGCCAATACCCAGCGTATTTTAGCTGGTTGCTAAAGTACGCAGGTCCCATTTCAGTTCTACACTTCTATCACTTTGGGAAGGGGGCGTAGGGGAGCGCTGAAAGGTATAGTTCTTTTTGGTCTTCCTTCGGGACCCGCTTGTTCAAACTTCAGATTTTCCAGTTCTTTTTTTTTTTGAAGTGCAGATTTTCGAGTTCTTTTTTTTTTTGAAGTGCAGATTTTCGAGTTCTTTTATCCAAGTTTATTATTATTTTATATGTTTGTGTTTGTTTGTGTTGGGTGGGGTTTGTTAATATGTGACAGCTTGTTCTGAATTTATTGGTTACTTGTGGCAGGATTCTTAAATTTGATAATATTATTATATTGATCTAACGGTGTAAACTATGAGCTGTAAAAAGAATATGGGTGTTTTTATTATTTTTATGGGTTACTGTCTTTTTCTGATTTTTAAAATGGGTTTTACAAGGGAAGAACGTGCTTATGGACGGTCGCGCTCTGAGGAGATTCTCTCAGTCCTCGTAAGCTAAAGCTACTTAAGCTGGCCAGTTTCTGTCTTTTTCTCTCTCCTGCAGTAGTGACTAGTGTGAAGAGCCCTGTATATTTAATTATATTTATATATACGTAAAAAGGCTTGGTCGCTGACATGAAATATTCCTGTACTTTTTTGTCCATCGCCCTTGAATTCACTATCGGGGGTTTCTTTGATGCAATGCAAGGACAGTGACTGATCCATCATATCACATCCGATGGGTCCCATGTTCCATCACCCGTCTGATCCTTTGTTCCCTTCTACGTGGTTATAGCTTATAGACGGTCTAGTGCTGATCTGTATTTCGCCATCACCAGCACTTAACATTATTATAAGCTAGATTTAATTCCAGGGCCTTTGACAAGTCTTTCTTTACTCTTTGTAAAGGAGAGATTATCCTACTGCGGCCCATATTTTATTATTGTTGTTCAGATGGGATCTGATCTGATGGTCCTGGAGTTGTGATCCAACCGTTTGATCTTCTGAATCGCGCCCTGGCATATGCTTATAGACGGTCTAGTGCTGGTCATTGCTTCTCCACCAGCACTTAAACATTATTATAATCAAGATTGAGAACTTGGGTCACTTCATCTTTCACAAGTTTCAAGTCTTTCTTCCTCTTCCCACTAAAGAGAGATTATCCACATGTGGCCCACATTCCCTGTTATTTTCAATTATTAATTTTTGGGGTCCTTTCTAGTGTCTTTAGAGCTTCAAATTGGGGTTCAGGTGGGATCCACGCTTCCTTGAATTCTGAATTTCTGATCGAGTATCATTAGCCCATTTCTCATCCTATCTCATCCTACTAAGAATAAAAGTATTTGGAACGACACCAAGCGTACATTAGAATGGCTTCTAAAATAGGGTTTGAGAAAGCAATGAAGTCTTGATGTCATGATACGCGCTTCGTATTGAATTTGGTTGGATTTGGTGGCCTTCTCTCTCTCTCGTTCCCCTCCGGGGGGGGGTTTTGTTTTTTTGGTAGACCAGACAGAGGCTTTGGTGGGCGAGTTTATTACTGTTAGAACTTTGTAATGAAATGGAATTGGGTAAATGATTTTTTCACTGTTTCACTTCTCCATCTTGCCAAGGCTAAGGTAAGAGCACAGAGCAAACGATGTCATTTCTCAAAGGGCTCTCAGCCGTCTGATTTGCTCGAGATTGAGGATTCGGTCCAGTATGTTTTCTAGTAGAGTTGATTAGTTTTAAACTAATGGGTGTGTCCTTGGGGTGGTCTTAACGTAAAAAATGGTTACTTTCAGACTTCATATGCAAATTGCAGTGCCAATGCCACAAAACTCACTTTACCGCTCTGCTATTAGGAAATGTAGTTTTTCCCACCCAAAGTACAAGAGGCAGGCTGCCATGATTCTTTGGGAAAACATTGGCTGTATGTAAAAAAGTCTGCCTGGGCTGCCACGTCTAGGTAAGGATTACATTTACTTTCCATTAGTTATAAGCTAAAGTTTTCCCTGTACAACATGTATTGGTGGGTGCGCAGATGTGTGTATATCCAAGCTGTTGACAAAGAACAAAAACCATTGCATTGGAAGGTTTTTTGGGGGATCTTAATTTGCCATGTAATTCATCACATCCTTTATTTTAGGATAAAATATATACACTTCTCCTGAGGCTTATTACAGCCATATGCCTCCCCTATGGATTATCAATCTCTGAAATTGAAAGCATTAGCTAATGCATTGACCCCTATGCCCATCAATTAATGTGAGAACCAACTAAAATAACCCCAAATTAATACAACTTTTAGGCTTCGTCTGCTTTTTGGCAAGTTATTTATTTGGGTAACCTAGTAAGTGCATTCACCATATTCACCATAAAATCTATTATTAAAATCTATTATTTTTGTTTCATTCAAGTGTTGACAATTTTCCCCAAGGTGGAAAAATTATTTATCCACTTAGAAGATGGGTATTACTTTTCAGGGTCCCCACATAAATTTGAAACAAGAACATGGGATTCTTGGTCAAAGGGAATTAAATTCACATTGACCAACTTTTCTTCCTCTCAAAATCTAGAGAAAGAATGCTCCCTTATGATCTGATTGGTTGTCAAGAAAGGATGGGATGGGATGAGAAGGGAAAATTTATTTTCTCAATCCTGGCACTCTATTTTTGGTTGTTGAGAACAATTATCTTACCAAATTTGCTTTCAAGATAGATGGTTCCAAGATCGAATACTTTAGAGCCCTTCGAATAGCCTTCAAACAACAAACAATAGTTTGGTTTAGTAGATCTAACACAGGGGTTGCATATTTGAAAAAATGCCAACATGTTAGATCTGCAGCCATAAAATCTTCTAATGGAAAAAACGGCAGCATAATCTAGGATTATTTTTGTTGCAGACAAGGAAGACGATGGTTGGTGTTGTCATTGTTGGCCTTGTGAATCTCGTCTAGAGGATAAAAGGGACATGAGGTCCAGAGTAGGGAGAATATAAAAATATGGTTAGTAAGTGTTAAACAAACAATAGAATAATGTTTCCATACCTTGATGGCTAGAGTTTTAACGAAAATGAGTTCCATAGCTTAAAGAAAATACAAAGGCATTATGAGAAGAAACGAAGAGGAAAAGAAAGTGATTCGATGACTTACCTTTGTCGGAGATGATGACGGAGACGATGGGGTTGTGACTATTAGGAGGCTGAAGCTCGGTTAAGACAATGAGGAGTTGCTGCCTCTCGACAATATTTTCGCACTTGCTTCTCAATATTTTCGCTTCCTAGTGGGGTTACACCTATTTGGTACCTCACATTCCATTTTTTTGAGAAGAGCATTCTCATCAGATCCCATTATTTCGCTTAAAACAAACATGAGAAAATAGGAATCTTTGATGAATATTCCTTTTTCTCATCCTACTCGCACAAGCCAAACATAGCAGTAGGGTAAATTGTTGAAACCTTGCCTGAAGTTTTTGGTTGTTGAAGCCTCTCCCAAAGTTATTTATCAAAAAAAAAAAAAAGAAATCTCCCATAAAGTTTGGTAATTGCAATCACCTTCCTTGCTAACATAGCTACAAGTATCCCATCGTTAGAATCCCCTAAAAAAGGCATGAAAATGTCTAAAATATCTGTGCAATTACTTTTGTCTAAAAAGTTTATTTTCCAAATTTTTCTCTTCATATGAATTTTTACCCCAAATCCTTTTAGTCTTTCTTTTTTGTGAAATTGATTTAATTTTCAAATTTGCCCTTCATATCAATCACTCAAAGGTAAAGCTACAATTTTAAATTCTCTTTTTTTTTTGTTGTTGTTTATAAAGTTTGTATTGCTTTTCTATAGAAACTAGCCTTAATAATAACCGCATGGGTATTTTGGACATTTTCATGCCTCTATTTAGATGTTTTAATAAAGGGGGTCTATTCAGTTTAGGGGAGGTGATTATAATTACCAAGCTTTAGAGGAGGCTATAGCAACAGCCCAAAACTTCAAGGGAGGTTTCAGCAATTTACCCTAACTCTTAATTAAAAATGTTACTTGGGTTGAATTGAAGAGAAAAATAATTTAATCTTATAAATTTGTGATGTACAATGAAGTCTAGAATGGCAAGTCTAACATTTTGTATTTTGTTGAAAGATGCACTACTTATAGGGGTGGATTCAAGCCGAGCCAAGCCGAATAGTATGAGGCTCAAGTCAAAAACTCATAAGTTCATGCTTGGCTCAAGTTCGATTAGAGAAAAAAATTATAAAAATAAAAAATTATATATAAAAAATATTTTTATTTAATATTTAAAAAATAAGAATTATAATAATTTTATTATATATATTATTTTCTATAATTTTATTATATATATTATTTTATATATATTCGAGCTCGGTTTGAAGCTCGGTTGAACCGAGTCGAGCTGAGCTTTTCACAAGCCAAGCTCGTGTAGCTCATAAAGAGCTCGGCTCATGGCCACCCCTAAATTCAAAGTTTTCATGACTAGGACAATGACAGAAAGTAACTACATTTTTTTGCAAAACTAAAGAAGAGATTTTTTGTAAAGTGAAATCTCAATGAGGTGTTTATGATGGGAAGGTTTTTATATTTTTCTGGGTAAAAGACTTAAACCTCCCCTATGTTTTAAGATAAATACTTATATCTCCCCTTTAGTTTTTGTTAGGACTTAAACCCCCCTATTACGATAAGATTTGACAAATTTGACAAAAAACACCTCTATACCCTTCATTATTATTTAAATTTTCAAAGAAAACCACATAAATATAACCCAAAATAAAAAAGGGACGAAAATAGTCTATTTACCTTTCAAATATTCCAGAATGTATCACATTCTTATCTATTCATCTTTTTTTTTTTCAAAAAAAAAAAAAGAGTTCTGCACCTCTTCAGGCCCAGGGAACAAATAGGCGTGCGGAAGAGGGAGAGGGGGGCTACGAGCCCTCTCTTTTCTTTTTTTTTTTTGATAGAAACCAAGAGGGCCTACACAAGATGGGGGTAGCGTGTCCCCATAAATTAGACTTACAAATACAAGCTAGATTCCAAGGAAGATCACTAAGATTGAGACTTACTGTATCATATAGGGATGAAAAGGCTTGATTGGCAAGTCAGTCTGTCGCTTGATTAGCTTCCCGATAGACATGATTGTACACCAAGTCTTCGTTTGCTCGAATCTTCAGATCTAAACACTCTTAAATGATGTTCCGAAGGTTCCAGGGGGGGTCGATGAGTCGCTTCAGACAATAAATCACGACCAAGGGATGAGATGGAATAGTTTGGGAAATTCATTGCCAAGTTGTGGGCCTCCGATGCGGCCCAAGCTTCCGCCAAGTGAAGGGATGAGAGATCCATCATATGGATGGCCGAACCCTACAGGAAGGTTGGGCGAAATTTAAAAAATTTCCTCTCCCTTCATCTGGGAATCACATTCCCTATTTTAGAAAATCTGCATTTTCAAGGATCAATCTTGAACCCTAAATCGAACCAAATTTGAAACCAAGAGTAAGAGAGAGATATACCTGATACGGAGAAGTAGTATTTCCCAACGAAGGTGTTCACGCCCAAAGAAAGACTCCAAAGACTGTTCCCACTAAAGATGACACAGTGAATGGTGGAGCAGAATCAGCAGTGTTCGTCCAACAAACCGAAATCTTCACCAAGAATTCGCTGGAGGCAGTGAGTACAACTTCAGATCAGTCTTTCTCCAAAGGCTGATATCAAGACTCTTCTTGATCGCTCCTACAATGGAAATCGAACTGGCAGTGTGGCGGCAATTGGAGGAGAACGCAAGAGCAGAAGATGGCGAAGCTGTCTTCTCTCTTGGTGGTCTAAGATCTGATATCTGAGAGTTTTGGGATGGACTGAATGATACGCCCCTCCTCCTTTTATAGCCTTAAAGAGAGCTCCTAATCTCATTAGGGAGTTATCTTTAAGAGATAATGATAAGTCCTTATCTTATCTGCAGATTAGATTAGCTCTTTCCTAATCTCATTAGAAGGTTTCTAGATTTAAATCTTATTTAGATCTAGACTCTCTGAGTGGATAGGGATAACTCCCTATCCTATCTGTTGATCTAACTCCCAGACCTGCCCTTATTTAACTGATCATATCAACCCAGTTCGAAATGGGCTTTAGGCCCATGAAGTCTAAGTGCTCAGTATGCTTCCAAATTGTTGCCCAGTTGGGCTTCTTTGTATGGTGTTGAACCCAAACATTGATCTACACATCAGCCACATGGGTTCAGCCTAGCCTCTGCTACAAGGCTTGGCCGAATACACTGTTATGGACAGTGAACCCCCTAAAGCCCATCACATGGGCTCCTAATGGGCCCAACACTTACACTAAGTGGTCCCTAGGCCAAGCCACCTTATAAAAACTCAAGGACTGTGGGCAGATGCAAGATTAGCCCATCAGGTATTACCCTCAATGGTCTTACACTTAACCTCTCATCCCATAATGATCAAACACTACCCGACAAGAGATGACCTCTCCCTCCGTTGCAAGGAACAATGTTGCACTCTCTACTCACATGGATCCTGTGAATTAAAACATTTTGCAAACATTTTGAAATCATAATATATATATATATATATATATATATATATATATATATATATATATA